ACGAGCACGAGCCGCCTCCGGTGCTCGGTGTCGCCGTCCCGGCCGTCACGAAACACCGCTCGAGCGGATCCCCGAGCGTTCGCTAACGGGGGAACCCGTGTCTGTCTGATCGCCGTTTACCTGGTACCGGGGCAGAGGCCGTCCACGATCGCGGATATCCAACGAGCCGGGGAGCATCGGCACTTTTCCACTTTCGTCGACATAGCTGTCGCTCTGTTGTCCTGTCATAGAATTGTCCCGACGATTTGCGGCGCCCGCGACAATGGTCGGCCACCGTTGCCGTCGTCGGCGATCCGTGGGGCAATTAAAACGCGCGACGATGGCACCGATCGGTTGGGACACCGACGAATAATCGGCGCGTTCCTTTTTTCGCGAGGATATCTGAACGCGAGAAACGGATAAACGTAGACGGCCGATCGGTATACGTGGCACCGGATTGGCCGGTGGCATACCTCGACGACACGCACGTTGTGTGCGCTCACATCGGCAACCTGTGCACCCACTAACCACTAACCGGCGAACCACGGGAGGCCAAGGTGTGCGCGCGCCAGGATAATATATGTATCTACGTGCGTTAACCACGTGAGACCGGCCAGCATCTTTCCACGGCCCTACCTGGTGGGGACTTCACCTATGGACTGCTCTTTCTCTCCGTCTTTCTCGCTCGCGAACCTTGGATCCCCGGGAAATCGTTAGAATCTTAACGCCGTCGTGCACGCCACCGCGCCACGCCGCCCGATGGTCGGGATCTATCCGACGCAACGATATCTCGGTGATTAACGCTAAGGTTTTTGCGCGCTCGCCGTCTTGCCAGGCGGAGCTCGGTTTATTATTAAAGAGTAACCAGCAGCCAGCAGTGGGATTTATCGGACTTGAATGAAATGCGTTTCGCAGCTATCAAAATGGAACGGCAACTGTCGGCATCATCGGTTGGGAATACGGGAAACGTTTCTACGGTCTATCCAGGATACAGGATAGAGTCTAACAGCTGAATCTTAATAAGTAAACGGTAGTCTATGAATATTTAAATAAGATCGTGAATTTTAAAGTAGACGTCAACCGCGTAAGAAACATCCTCGCAGCTCGTTAGGGATCTAATTAAAAGTATGAATCTAATTCTAGCGGGAAATATGTATCCGCGTGAAACCGCGGATCGTAGATATCGCTGTCTAATGAAGATCCACGGTTAGGTGCAACGCGGCCAGGATTTTACATGAGTGCCGCGCGGCCGCAAATAGCATAAACACGTGCATCAGCGATGCAGCTGGGTAAGTGGGTACGGCCCGCGTAGTTCGTACGACCTTCATAAAAACTCGTCGATCAGAGATTGCCGGGAATGTCGAGTGAGAACTCCGCCGTCTACGGGGTGGCGAATAAAAAGGTAGGCGCCCGCCTCGGCCGGACGAGAGACACGGACTCTAACTACGCTGTGCCGGGTAAATGACAGCGGAATGACGCCGGTAAAAACGTAGCCGGCTGCGCAAAGTGGACGAGGGCCTGCGCTGAAGCGCGTGTGCGTCAGACGACGTCGACGCGATTCGAACACACGAACCGGGAAAAGAACGGTCCTCCGTTTATAGATCGACCGAGTCCAGGACAACAGGACTATAATTCGCGGACAGGGGTTACATTTTATTTCCGCTTACCGGTCGTTTTTTCTCTCCCGACAACGTAATCTGTCCAAAGAGAAGACCGCGAGAGAGGATTCCTCATTCTGGGCGTTCTTGTCCTTGATCTTCTCGAGCAAAAGCTATATCTCGGGTACGTATTTTACATTATTCAGTTTCTCCCGATGAATTCCAAATAAAAAAGAATTTACTTCTTCTCCTTTCTTTTTACCTTCTTTCTGTTTTTTCTTCTTCTTCTTCTTCTTCTTCTTCTTCTTCTTCTTCTTCTCCTTCTCCTTCTTCTTCTTCTTCTTCTTCTTCTTCTTCTTCTTCTTCTTCTTCTGCAAGAACGGCCGTTGCTTTTACGTCCGCCTGACCATGAAGAGCGACAGAAACGCGTGGGTTCTTGAACGGTTCGTTGAATGTGTTTACTCGTTGTAACGAAATATCATATATAATTAAATATTCCGCGAGATAAACAACATGTTTTTCGCATTTTATAACCGGCGGGGCTCGGTAAGCGTTTCCAGGGTTAATGGTGTGTCGATAGGTTTCAGAAGGAGCCGCTCAAAATGCAACCCGCCAGAGACGGAACTTTCTACGAAAGGGATAGAGCGAGTGTTGGCCGCATCGTGGAACCAAGGTCGTAACTGGCGATGGTATCTCGATGACTGTGGGTGGTCTATAAGGTTTTTTGAGTCTATGGCAACTTTCGAACGGATTCGCGGTGCGAGAATCTCGGGAACTCCCAGGCTTGACGCGGACGGTTCCTCCTCGGTGTCGCTGGCACTCGAAGGGAACCGATTCAATGGAATTTTTGATACAACCGAAATGAACGGAATGCTGTTGACCGACGCGCACGATCGATTGAATAATTGCGCTCCTCCGTAGGGACAAGTCGTCCCGGTCCCGCGAGGGCAACAGGTTGCGGACCCGCGGCTGTTCCACGTCCGTGGCATCGACTCCGCAATCAGCGCCGCGGTTCGTTTCGCAATCGCTGTTCGGTATTCCGAATTCCCATTTGCAACGGCGAAGATTAAGATGGCGGCGGACTACGATAATTTATTAACTAGTCCGGCGAGTCAAACCTGTTGCCCCGCCGCGAACGTGTTTTGCTGTTCGTGTCGAAACCCGAGAGGAACTGGTGTCCTCTGATATCTCGCCGCAGATAATTGTCTCTTTATTCTTCCCGTGCCCCGGCGATCCCCTTAATTCTGATTTCTTTTTTCGCCTGACAGACTCGGCTTACCGTTCGTTTCTCGTGCGACAAACATTCCAACGATTCGCCGGCATCCCCTCCGTTCCGTTGGATGAACAAAATTCGATCCGTCTGACGATGCAAGGATTTTTCCACTGCGAGCCGTGGAGTCCCTCGGCATCGACGATTGCGAAAACATTTCTCGGATTGGAATCGAGCGCTCGATGATCCTCGTACACGGGCGATAGGCTTCGAAACAAGAATACAATCCACGGAGGAGCATGGGACGAGTGCAACAAGCAACTACACGATCCTTCGAGCGGAATTTCATATTATCGATCCGCTCGAGTCAAGGTACTATGCAGTTAGAGAAACATTGCCACCAGTCAATATTCGACCAACGGTCTTCGCGTCTGGTCCCTGTTTCCGCGGTGAATTTTACGAGGTGATGGAAGAGTCCGGCGAGAAAGCGAAGTCCCCTCCGTGTCGATGTAAGTACATCGTCGAACGTAAGGTCACGGTATTAAAAGTTGAAAACTGGTTGCAAAACGTCTCCCGACGAGTGCACACCAATCCCGAGCTCGTTCGTTTTCGAATCACGTCTCCGTCGTCATGCTCTCCGCCTCCTCCGCCTCCTACTTCCCCTTCCTCCGTTTCGCCCCCTCGACGCCGGCCGGCCACCCTAATGCAGCAAAAGCAAGCGCGAGATATAATTTCCAGACGTTTACGTGGATTCCCCGGATTCTTCCGTTTTGCTCACGGCTCTTAACGGTTCGATATTATGCCGGTACTGTGATCCGCGATGGCGACCGGCCAGCGGGTAGGAAATTCTCCAGCAGTGACGTAAAAAGGTAGCGCCCCGGGGGCATTTCTTTAACGCGGCGCCACCCGTGTACTCCCGGGGCCCCGCTTTTATACCTGCGCGAATCAAAACAGACGGTGTCTTATCTTTCTCCGCTCGAGTTACTCCCATTCCCCCCTCGTCCACCCCTCGCCGCCGTACTCCCATGATCCGCCGTTTTAATTAGGACCGGAGGCACGGCGCGCTTCACAATTCTAGTAAAACAGCGATAGTTGGCGGACGTTTGATTTCTGCTGTACCGGGACGCGTTCCCATGCGAATCTCGGTATGCACCGTGTATTTATGCAAATCCACAAAGAGGCCGACGTCATAATATTTTATTCGTTTCAGTTCGCCTCCGCGAAAGGCCGAGAGGAACAAGCGTCCCAGGGTAACTCATGCGGGAACGAGTTCGCGTGCCCTAAGCAGCGAGCCGTTCAATTAGAATTTTTTCCCTCTACGCGGACGGTAAGCCCGGCAAAAACATCGGCATTTAATCGGTATTTGTCTGGGAGGCAGCCACGTACACCGATGACCCTGACATTTACTACGGTGCATTTCACGCGAGCGCTGTCCATTAAGCGCTGTCCACATTGACGAGCCAAGCGCATAATGAGTTGTATTTCAATCTTCTTTCGCTCGCCGTTGTCGCCTTCTCCTTTCCACTATGGGAACACCGTCTAATTCGCTTCTACGCCAAATCCGTAGTCCCATTACTTTCAACCGGTGCAACGATTGCGACGGACATCCGTTTAACCGATCGTCGATTCTCCGCGGCTCATTGGAAACCAAAACCGTCCGGCACTAGTAACAGTGAGACCGGGAACAAGCTGTAGCGGACACCAAGCTTCGACAAGGTGCAAAGTGTACTATACGAGATTTATAACAAACGATCACTGTCCAAACCGTCAGCAATCAGCGCAACCTCGTTACAGGCCTAAGCAGAATGCGATAGAAGTCGTCGGGATGGAGCAGGCTAGAGCGAATTCGCAAGGTGCAGCATTCGAGAATCATGGCAAATATCCGTTCGTTAGCAACCACGGCAACTCGGCGGCAGCTCAATGTATTTTCCAACATCTTGGCAAAAGAATCGAACGATCCTCCAGCCGGTACCATGCCTGTTTGCGGATCCATGACGCCGTGTTGACATTGTCATGCGCGTCCGCGTTGGAAATGAACGAGAAAACCTGTTTAACGTACAAATATTGAACCGCTACTAGGTTCCTCTCGCCTCGTAACAGTCTTGGCAACGAGAATAACGCGAGTCGCCGTGAATATTAATCGCAAAATTGGTCGAGACCGTCGCGTTGC